CTTCGTAGGTCAGACCGTCGCAGACGCCCGAGTCCAGCTCATCCAGGGCTTTCCACTCCAGCGTCTCATAGCTAGTCTCTGCCTTAAGGTGGCGGGCACTCTGGATAGTGCGGCGTAAGGTTGAGGTCCAAATCACAATCTTGGTGTTTTCAGGGATACCAGACTTGCGCATTAGCTCGGGGAGTGCGCGGGCGTAGGCCTCGCCGCGCTCGGAGATGTTGGAGTCGCCTCCAATCCGGCCGGTCAGGTTGAACTCGGATTCACCGTGCTATTTTCGTCAGTCCCGCTTCAAAATAATGGTCCGTGATTTTGATATTTTGACTCACCCTTGATAGCCAGATTGAACGAGGCTTAATGTGAATATTCTGGATATAATAGACTAGACGACTGGACAGATAATCTTTGATCTGGTTGATGATGACCGTCGAGCCCACGTTGATAAGCTTGACATAAGTGTAGTTCTTCTCGTCATCATCGATGGTCTCGTAGACCTTTTCATAGTTGCGAATGCGGTTGCGGAAATCAAGGGCAGCCACTTCAGGATCTTGGCCCTTGTAATCTGGCGATGTCGTCTTGACTTCCTTGATGTTGGTCATGATCAGATCTTCATCATCACAAATCGACTCAACAAAGAGAGCCTCAATGCCAGCTTCGGTGCATTTCTCATAGATCCACTTGCGGCGGTCCTTTGTGGAGTTGGTAGCATCCAAGATAGCCACAACACCCTTCCCGGCGTTAAACCACTGAAGCATGTCCGACATGGCAGCCTCCGCGGCAGCTCGGCGCATGCGCTCGCCTTCTTCATTGTGAGGGTCAAAGAAGGCGGCCTGTGGCTGTGGAGTGTTGAAGCGGCGATAACCACCAACATTAAAGACACGTGCAGGGATACCGACCCAGCCCAGATAGCGCATAGCTGTCACAAAGTCAGTCTCACATGTTCATTTACGGATGGCGGGTTCACTTACCCTTGCCGGCGATGAGACTCTTGCCTCGGGCCGGGAGGCCCACCATGACAACACATATCTTTGAGTCGTCGGACTGCGTAGCAAAGTTAACGGCTGACATTTTTTTTTGGGAGAAACAAAAAAAAGTGAGGTTGCAAGAGTGTCTGGTTGCAGTGGGGGTTGTGGGAAAGAGAAGAAAGCAGAAGGTAGACAAGATAGAAGGTATAATAGACCCAAACTTGTATAGTTGCGCATGGATAAGTACTCTTGCACAGTCTCATCTATTTCGCATCTGTATACCCCGGCAAAGCCATTTAAGGCATCTTATACTTAATCCAACACAAAAAGAGATCAATAATCCCAAATCAACCATATCAATCTAGCCCACATATACGCAATGCAAGCCTCGGCAGAGTAACAACGTAGCAACCCCGCGGGTATCAAAGGGCAAAAACGGAGAAATTCCACTCACACTTGCAATGAATGCCTTATGCTGGCGTCGGACACTTTTTGATGCCATTTTGAGGTTGATGTTATATGAAGAAGGGCAAATACAAGAATCTCGGGAAGATTAGGGACAATTCCGACCCGAAGCCGGAGAACCAAAAAGCAGAACTTAACCCAACATAGGGGTTTGGTCAAGAAGATATTGAGAATATAACCTGCAGGAATGAATTATAATATGAATTCACCAAGAAAAGATTTAAAAAAAAAGATAAAAAACCAGAAAGAAACAGAACAGAAGAAACAGAAGAAACAGAATTCAGGGAGGCGCATAATGCGGTGAGTCTGGATTCCCCACTAACGTCATCCCATCGTGAATCAATCCACTTTGACATTTGAACATCTTGGATAGATTTAGTATGTACCATTATAGAGGATAATGGCTTGTTTTCTACATATATATATAAGACGCTATTCGGGGATCTATTGACATATTGCTATCTCTAATCTAGATTATAAAGGCTAGAACAGATAAAACCCTATATCCATTTTGCATACATACTAACCCTCCAAGGATGATTGATGCCTGCATGCGGCTGTTTTTATACGGGCGCTTATACCCGGGCTTATTACATGTAGGCAATCCAGAGAGAATCAACTAAACAAAGTACAATGTTGTGCACAGAAGTTCGATATATGGTGGCCAAATCGATTTACCAACCTCGGGCTGGAATAATACACTTTTCTTCCCGAGGTCATCACACCGGGGTCCTTCATTGAGCTAGTGTTGCAGATGTGGCCATATAATATATAACTAGTTGCTGAGCTTCAACTCAACATGGGCAATATTCTCACTGGCTTCACGGATGAATACTTACCTCCTTGAGGTGGTATCATCTTCGGGTGTGCGGATGAGTGAATTATAGAAGAAAAGTGGCCCTATGAGCTGGCCGCCAGTAGTCCGGCTATCCGTCATGACATATTTGTCATAGTCAGTTTTATCTGATATATAACAGCCTTGATATTGTCTCTACGGAGTACAAAGCCAAGATATTCAGATCCTTCAACTCCCAAGTTGTCAGCCGACTAATCTTCAACAAATAAACAGGCACTAAGAAACAAAAAGGAAATAGTAGCCAGAGAATTATGCATGTAATTTTTAGTCTATTCAGGTATCATAGCTCATGCAATGTGACACGTCCTATCATTAATAATACTTATTTTTTTTAGGCAAGCCCCTGTACTTAGATCAGGCATCCTTGGGACCACGAGCAAACTGTATACGTAGGGGACCACCCCATGGTCCTTCCCGACCATTCAGGGTATCCATGGCTTTCTGGGCTTGCTCGGGAGTACCCACATCGACGAACAGATAGTAGTGCTCGCCGGGATCGAACCTCTTAGCGGGGTGAGGGGTGAAGACCTTGCTGACATTCTCACTGCAAATAACAGGGCATCAGTACTGATCACAGGACACCAGGAATCCAAGCCATCTAAACTTACATCTTGAATCCTTTGAAGAAAAGCTCCATGTTGCTCTGCACAGCCCCATGGTCGGTCAATCGCGGTAGACCACCGACATACACGCGGCTGCTAGAGTCACTATTGACCTTAGCAAAGCTAGGTCTCTCTTGCTGACGCCAGTGATCAATGCGGAATGGCTCAGGTGGATTCTGAATGCGCTCCTGCGACTTGGCCACACCGGGCTTAATTTTGACCGGGCGACCCAACATATCACGACCATCGAGCTCGGTCATGGCGCGCTCGGCATGCTCCTTGTTCTGCAAGTCGACGAAGCAGTAGGAAGGGTTCCGGCCGGTGAAAGGATCAATGGCAATATCTATGCGCTCGCTATTTGGGAGTTCAGTTGGCGACGCTTCATGGCTGGGCCATCAGGTTCAAATGGTGCAGGCATACATAGGGAACTCGGCCGCTATGAACAGCGCCTCCACATCCTCCATCTTAGCCGTGTATGGCATGTTGCCAACGTATAGGCGGCGGCCATCGTTAATCGCTTGGGGGACGTGCGCTCCGGGCCGGCTAAAGGCTGCGCGGGAGGTATTGGGGTTTGGGTTGGGGCTCGCGCTTGGGCTAGCATTGGTGCGCGATGGTGTTGCTGGGCTTTCAACCTTCATGCGCCAATTGGCAGAGTTGAAGGCTCGACCATCGGTACGGACATTTGTAAAGGGAGACTTGGTAGGAGCTGTATATTGTAGATATCGATTAGTCGAGACTCTTTAGGGTATTTTTTCAGGTCGATCTTACTCTGTTGCTCCTCCAGTCTGGGGCTCTCTGTATCGTTCATAATTTTTTGAGAGAGTATTCCAGAGCACAAGCGAAAAGATACTCTGATCCAACAGTATGCCAAAATAATTTCACCAAAACCGAAGAGTCGACTTGGGTAAATTGCATCTTCCACTTTTTTTTTTGAGAGTGCAAACAGTGCAAACTAGCACTCCACTTACTATTTAACGCGCTCTAATTTTTTCATCCTCCCATCATTTCCTCTTCATCAAATACATCTCTTCTCATTTTTTTTTTGTTTGTTTTAATGACTTCTTTTCTTTGAAAATTGACCATATTGACCTTCTGGTTGTACATGGCAAGCCCATAGCATGATGAAGCTTCAGCTTGCCAAGCTTCTCCCTCCGAGATGCCAAGCTGTCCCCGATATGATCATGAATTATTTTATTGACGGGACAGTTGAAGATTCAAATTGTGAGTTTTTGAATTGTCTTTTTTTTTTTTTTTGGCCTCCCGCTCTTATGATGAGTGACCTTTTCACACAGACCTGTTCTGAACTATATTGTTGATAAAAATTGTTATATAAATGTTAACTGATAGAGCTTCTTGACTTTAATCCTCTTGTCGAGTCAATGCGATCATTGCTAATATGATTACAGATTTTCACAGATTTTCACAGATTGCCGAATGCTCGTCTCCATATAGAACTAGGTCTTGGGCCAATAATTCAATTGATAACTTTGACATAAACATACATATCCTCCATTGTGCTCTTCGCGTAGTGTATTCATCCCTCTCAACACTTCCAAGCTCAAAGAAAAGAGCCAGGCATATATCCCTTCCAGTCACATTATCAGTCTTGAACTCGATATTTGGTCACTACCAGGTTGTAGTGCTTACGGGATAGATCGTGCCCCAGATGGAAGCGCTGTGACATCGGGACTACAATATTGTATACATCGAAGTAGTTCCCACGATCTCCGTCAAGTTTATAATTCATTCCTTTTACTCCACTTGAATTTATTGCCAAGAAGTTGTGCAGGCACAGCCCGAAATGGGGCAAACAGCAGATCACGATCCTTTGTCTGCCATGAGCCCTAGCTGCCAATCACTTCCAAGAATACCCATCTAGTGCAATCCGTGCCCTCCAACCCCATGCCCCGTTCTTTGGCAGATTCTTTGATAGACCCACCTGAATGTTCCTGTGCATGCACATTGACGTACTCCATACATATCCTCGAGGGAAGAGACCAAAAATGTTTTGCTTGCTTTCGAGTTTCTTTGTCTTGGGATCTCAGTCCTTCCCAACCCTAAAAACCAAACATCGTCTCGTCAAATCTTTTTCTGCATAGACTTTAAGATAGAGAGATGATAGAACAGGAGAAAATTGACGCCACGCTGTCCGAGAAAGTCGTACCGCAACGGCCATTTGGGACAGCTGCCGAGCGAGCACGGCGCAGTATCAATGCGAAACTCTCCAATCCGTTGGCTGGGCTCAGCCATACCGAGCTACGAAATCAGGGGCGCACGTTTGCTGAACTTCACGAGATGGGCGATGAGTCCGATATCCGTGCTTTCGAGCTGGGTGCTGTGCTGGCACAGTCTCCCGAACGATATGCGAATGTCGCCGGTCTAACAAACCAGGAGAAGAGAGTACTGGGCCAGGAGTTCACCCATCGCTGGTCACAGCCATGGAAGATGTATGTGGCTATTACATTGTGTTCTTTATCCGCTATAGTTCAGGGAATGGGTAAGTAGTAGTTCAGTCTGAGAGGTTCCCAAATCTCGAAGAATACCCCTGCTGACAATAACAGACCAAAGAGTTGTCAACGGAGCCCAAATATTCTACAAACACCAATTCGGCATCGGCGATGAATCCTCTCGGAGTGCCTGGCTCGTCGGTCTAGTGAACTCAGCCCCATACCTCTGCTGCGCCTTCATCAGCTCCTGGCTGACAGTCCCATTCAACCACTGGTTCGGACGCCGCGGCACAATTTTCATAGCATGCTGCTTGTCTGCAATAACCTGTCTCTGGCAGGGATTTGTCTCAACCTGGTGGGCGATGTTTGTTGCACGATTCATGCTAGGCTTCGGGATTGGCCCAAATCAGCGACTGTGCCGATATACGCGGCCGAAACGGCGCCGCCGTCCATCCGTGGTGCATTGGTCATGCAGTGGCATGTGTGGACGGCGTTCGGGATTATGGTCGGCTATGCGTCAGACCTCATCTTCTACAAGGTCGACTCGACTGTCATCGTCGGCCTGAATTGGCGCTGTATGATGGCCTCGGCGATGTTCCCGGCTCTGGTCGTTTGCTGTTTTGTCTTTGCTTGTCCTGAGTCGCCGCATTGGTACATGCGCCAGAAGCAGTATTACCGTGCTTACAGGTCCATCTGTACGCTGCGAAATCATAAAATCCAAGCAGCTCGTGACCTGTACTACATGCATACCCTGCTGGAGGCTGAGAATAGTATGAAGCTTGGGCGTAACAAGATGCTGGAACTGGTTAAAGTTCCGCGAAATCGGCGAGCGATGTTGGCGCCTCAGATTGTCATGTTTATGCAGCAGGTGAGTGTGGATTTTCAGCAAGATATACCGAAGTACTTGCAGAGATAACTGACTTGAGCAGTTCTGTGGTGTGAATGTTATTTCATACTATTCTTCCGAGATATTTATCGAGGTCAGCCCAAAGCTATCGATCCTATTTTCTTTCCAACAGAACATTAACAGAAGCTCTAGGCCAAATTCTCCCCACCGGCTGCTTTAGCCGCCTCATTAGGCTGGGGCCTAATCAACTGGCTCCTATCCATACCGGCAATCTACACAATTGACACATTCGGCCGACGCAACCTCCTGTTACTTACTTTCCCACTCATGGCCATGGCCATGTTATTCACAGGGTTCAGTTTCTGGATCCCAGAGAGCAGCCACAATGCACGTCTCACCTGCATCGCTTTAGGGACATATCTTTTCGGCGTGGTCTATTCACCGGGCGAGGGACCCGTACCATTCACATACACAGCCGAAGTATACCCGCTATATGTCCGATCATACGGGATGGCGCTAGGCACGGCAACGATGTGGTTCTGTAATTTCATCCTGGGCGTGACGTGGCCGTCTCTGCGCGCCGCATTCACAACACAGGGAGCATTTGCTTGGCACGCAAGCTGGTGTTTGGTTGGATGGTGGATGGTACTCTTGTTCATGCCTGAGACGAAGGCGAAGGCGCTTGAGGAGTTGGATCAGGTCTTTTCTGTGCCCACAAGGTTCCATGCGCGGTATGGGTTGAGGCAAATTGGGTATTTCTTCAAACGATATTTGTTAAGAAGGGTTATTAGACCGGAGGTTCTTTATGAGAGGGAGGAATTGGTCAAGGCTCAGGATGTGGGATTTAATGCTTGATGAAGTAGCCCTTGGTCTATATTTGAAGAGATGGATTCAATGGAAAATGTCCATAGATCGTTTTGTTTTCTTTTTTAGCATATAACTACTCTGACATATTGGTATCTATAATAAAAAAGCACTTTCAAGAGTTCCAAGGGTATATCCCTAGCCCCCGCTCACAGAAGGATTGGCCTGAATTGAAATGCCTAGAGTCTAGATCCTTTTTTTATGCAGTTTATATGAAGGAAGGTGACTTCGTGTGATTGGATTGAAATTTATGAGATTAAATGGTACTTTCAACAATTCCCATATAGCAATTCGGAGTTCTCTTCCTATTATTCCCTTATTGGGCGCCTTCGACTATTCTAGTTCCTCGTCTTTTTCGTGAAGGATTATCATATGAATTATATTACATTCGTTAATAGGTTAGCCAGCGTCCGAAACCAATCAGCTCGACCCAGGGTGCATTGTGGCGCACCCAACGGCGCTAAGCAACGTCAAATGGCTGCGCTTGTATGCAAACTAAGAATTTAGCCAATCGGGGGAGACCATAAAGTCGTTGTTGGTTCTTGGTCTCCATAATGTCATTGTCATCAGCCGCAGAAAATAATTGGCACATGCAACCCAAGAATTTAAGCGAATCTGATCCTGGTGTCAGCCTATGAGGATTGTTAATTGAGAAGAAAAGAGCCTAGGTTCTATATGGGTACTAAGCCGCAAAAGATGAGTCAGACACACGTGGATCGCCACGATAATAGTCAGAGTTCGTATGTAAGATCGTGTTCTATTATAAAATCGATGACTCTCGGGCTTTTTATACGAGAAGGAATGAGATTTAAATCGGACGTTTTTTGGCCCCCCTCCCACAACAACTTTGTGATTTCCAAGATTGATCTGGAATCACTGTAGAAGGGCCTACTTGGGAAAGAGTCAGGAATCATGCAAGGTCTCTGTAGAAAATAATTTTTTAAAAAAATCAGGGTTTGCATATATACCCTGAAAGACGAAAGTAAAGACCAAGCATTCTATCATGCCCTAAATATTCAACACCACTCAGCCTTCTAAACCCCACAATTACATATATGTACTATAATTGGGAAAATGGGTATCCATTTGCCCTTATAGTCTTCATGCTTAATTGGCTCCCGAGGTCGTCAAAAGTTGCTTACACAATCTCAGCTCTCCATGGTGAGATCGAATTTGTAGGTTTCTAAATGCCCTGGATGCCTGACCTAACCTAAAGAGGCCCCCGGCCCCAATGTAGGCACCAGAACTCGCTCAAATCCGAACTCCCGGGTGAGAAAGTTATGACATCTATACAAAAATAAAATAGAAGTATAAGCCTCAGTCCTGATTTGGCGTCAACGGCCCGCCTTAGCGGTCCACTTTAATCTAAATTCTGGTATGCATCGCGCTAATGCTGACAATATCCGAGACAAAAGCCAACAGCGGCTTCAAGATGCAGCCGATTCCAACCTTGGAACAAAGTAAGACTTGCGGGATAGGTTGGTTTTTAAGTGCTGTGGGTCAGGGAAGGTGTGAAGCACGGCGCAGTCGACTCGATCTGGCTGCAACCCGGGCATTAGCTTGCCCTGACAACATTTATGGAAGGAACCACGGGAAATTGGTCATTGGCTCGGCGCAATTGATCATTTCACTTTCGGCAGGAGTATCTACTTGTCGTCGTTGAATTCCCCCGCTTCGGGGGCTATCCTTTCGGGGTATAAAGATCTCCTTGGAACTATCTTGTTCAGTTCTTCAGTTCCAACTTCTGCAATCGCTTCTCTTTGACAACCTCTTCACAATGCTGCAGAGCACTTTGACTCGGCTGGCACTTGCTTCATGCAATGACTCCTCAGCTACTCTTCGAGATCTGGGTGGTCTCACGTCAGTGATCCTTCTACTCTCTGCCTTGCTCTACAAAGTACTCTACGTGCCGGTGGCATCTTCCCCCAAAAAAGGCAATTCCGTTCCGCGCTTGCAATTGCCTGCTTGGAAGGTCACCCAGTTGTTCTTTGAGAAGAGGTTTGATTTCATCAAAGATGGCTTCAAGGCTACATCATCTTCCATCTATCAGACCAGTCTGTTCCGACATAACGCCACTGTTCTTTCCGGGGATGAAGGCCGACAAATCTTCTTCAAGGAGAAGGGTCTTTGTTTGTACGATACATTTTCGATCATGATGGGCAGTGTAAGACCCCCAATGACATATTTTCATCTCGGTAGTAACTAAATTCTCGCATTTAGGGTGCTGCTCAATTTGACCCCCACCAAGTCAGTGGCGTAGTCAAGCGAATGGCTTCGATTCAACGACCTGACAATCTCCAGAAATGTTAGTCTATGCCGTTCTCAATGAGGTAGAACCATGACTAATATACATATAGTGATTCCATTGATTCTGTCAGAATGCCAGCGTAAAATGGACGCATGGGGTAACGAGCGTATTCTTGACCCCTGCTCTTCCCTTCACGAGGTACGTGAATCTGGGTTCTATCTTTAATATATGGGAAACTGAGACATATTGCTTTCCTCTTAGGTCACTTTTCAACTGGTCATGTGCATTGCTTCCTTTGATATCGCCAATGATTCAGTTCTTTCAGCTCGTCTCAAGTCACTTGTCGACACTGTCGACTCTATCACTAACCCATACTCAACTTGGTTCCCTTGGTTACCTGGCCCAGCCTTGTTCCAGAAGTTCTTTGCTTCTGTTCAAATCTACAGGATTGTTCAAGCGGCCATTAACAACCGGAAGAGGAGCGGAATCAAGAGGGATGATATGCTGCAGCAGATGATTGATGATGGAGATGGTACAATTCAAATCTTCGGGGTATGTATTCTAACCACTTGTTTACTTTTCAACTATTTGGATCGGGAACCTGACTCTCTCCGAAGTGTATGCTAGGGCTATCACTAGCTGGAGCTCGTGCCACCGGAACAATAGGTACGTTTGATATTCAGCAACACCAAAGACAATGACTAACGAGTATCCTCCCTAGTGACATGGCTGATCATGCAAATCTCCTCGGACCCAACTTGGTCCTCGAGTGTTCAAGAGGAGATTAAAACCTTTGTATCGACTCACACATCCTCATCAGCCTCTCTCTCTGGGAACAGCCTTATCCAAGCCCTCCTCCGAAATCCCACTCACAGCCTGGGAATCCGAAACGCCCAATCTCGACCTCTGTATACGTGAAACACTGCGCACCTCACAGCCATACACAGCAGTGCGAAAGAACACCGGACCAGATCTTACAATCGGGCCATACGTTATCCCCTCGGGGTCTCTCGTTGTCTATCCATTTTCGGATACAGCACTCAACCCCAAGTACTACCCGGACCCAAGCCGCTGGGATCCCTCTCGGGGAATTGAAAAGGAAACACCGTTCATTGGCTGGGGTGCGGGGAAGCATGCTTGCAAAGGCCAGCGACTTGCTACGTTGACCATGAAACTGGTGGTTGTTTATGCTTGGATGCAATTTGACATTACAATGGTTGATGGGCAGGGCGAAAAGATCAATCAACTTCCCCTTCCCGATTGGAATGACTCTGCGACTTGCCGCCCGAAGGAGGAATGCGGAATCAAGTTTGTTGAGAAGTAGCAGCTTTGTATGCTGTTATTCTCGAAACTCGCAGGGCTCATTCTATTTCCTTTCTCCGAGCCGACGCCACCGTATGAATTAGTGGCCGTCCGAACAAATCAATTACTTCTAGTTCTAGGTTGAAAAGCCTCATTGAAATATCTTTCGATAAATATTTCAATTAAAGTGTATGTACTCAAACCGAGTATAATTACCTTGTCAAGCATTGGGTAACTAACTGGAGCGGTTAGCCACATGACTCGTACTTGATAGCTTCTTAACCATCTCACATCCATTCCCTCTCTACAATCATGGCCACAAGAACAATATATCTCATCTCTGCTCGCAACACATCCTTCCAAAGAGCCCACTTCTCAATATTTGTCCCATCGGCTACGAATCCCGACCGGGGAACCAAAATCCACGCGGTTGGTGCACCAATGGCAGGCTACGTCCTGGAGTTCAAACGAAATTACAATCCCAGTCTCGATCCTCACGACCAGACCTTTTCAATCGGCCAGGTCCACTCGTCCGACATCGTTGATTCCCCAGGTGCGGCTCCATCTATCGACTCCACCCCCCGAGGGAAGATCGAACTAGCGGCGACACAAATCTCGACTCCGGGGATCAATTAGAAGTTCATGGCACCTGTCAACGATGTGAGTAACACGGCATACACTCTGGTGCAACATTGTAAGATTGGATTAAGCTCACACTCTCGATTTTCCAGACCACCAACAAGCGCTGTCAAGAATGGACTATGGAATATGTCCGCCATTTGGTTGCCAAAGGCTTGATCGATGAAGAAGCGATTAAGATCGTTCAATCCAAACGTGACCCACCTACTCATGGAATTGGACTACGATCTGTGACCAGACCTAGCACGTAGTATAGTTGACCTAGAATACCTACATATGTGGAATAAAAAACAATAATATGTCCATCTCGGCCGCTGCCAACCGCTCCCCGCATCCGCCCCGACGGCGAACCGCCGTCGGATGCTTCCCTTGCATGCATCCATGGATAATGTACGTACTTCCAAGGTTTGACATCCGATGAACATTCCGATGGAAAGGTTATGATAACACCTGCTTCCGAAGTGCGGGGTCCCCGCATGGACTATAAAGCAGCTCAGAACCCCATGCGCAAGATTGTCTCCATCCTCAAGCCCTCTTACTCCCTTACTAGACAACCAAAATGCTCGGCAAAATCGCCCTCGAAGAAGCCTTCGCGCTCCCCCGATTCCACGAAAAGACAAAATGGTGGGCGGGCATGTTCGCAACCGACACAGACAAGCACACAGCAGAGATCAACGACGTCGGACCAATCCGACTTGACTTCGCCGAGCGCCACGGCGTCGGTCTCCAGATCCTCAGCTACACAGCACCTGGTGTACAGGATATCTGGGACGCAAAGGACGCACAAGCGCTCGCCGTTGAGATCAACGATTACATCGCGGAGAAAGTGAAAGCGCACCCGGATCGGTTTGCCGCATTTGCGTAAGTTGCAACCCCAAATTTAGCATGGGAATCAATGTCTCCATAATATATATGTGTACATCCAGCTAACCCATCCAGCACGCTCTCCATGCACGACCCACAAGAAGCGGCAGCCGAGCTCCGACGCTGCGTAACCCAGCACGGGTTCCTGGGGGCACTAGTGAACGACACGCAGCGCGCCGGCGTCGACGGCGATGACATGATCTTCTACGACAACGAGAAATGGGACGTCTTCTGGGCTACGTGTACTGAGCTCGACGTACCGCTGTACCTGCACCCTCGCAACCCGACAGGCACGATCTACGATAAACTCTGGGCTGATCGGAAATGGCTGATTGGGCCTCCGCTGTCGTTCGCGCAGGGTGTCAGCCTGCATGTTCTTGGGATGGTGACGAATGGGGTGTTTGACCGGAACCCCAAGTTGCAAGTTATACTTGGACATCTGGGGGAGCATATACCGTTTGATATGTGGCGGATTAACCACTGGTTTGAGGATCGGAAGAAGATGCTTGGACTTGCGGAGACATGTAAGCGGACGATTCGGGAGTACTTTGCGGAGAATTTGTGGATTACGACGTCGGGACATTTCTCGACTACTACGCTTCACTTTTGTATGGCCGAGGTTGGGGCGGATCGGATTTTGTTCTCGATTGATTATCCGTTTGAAACGTTTGGGGATGCATGTGAGTGGTTTGATTCGGCGGAGATGTCGAATACGGATCGGTTGAAGATTGGACGGGAGAATGCGAAGAAGTTGTTTAAGCTTGGGGCTTATAAGGATAGTACGGCTTGAGCTTTACAGGGGAGATAGGTTGAAATAGAATTTTCACATTGAATTCGTTATGCGTTTGTTCAGTTTCTTGATACATTGCATCTGGGGTATTTGAGACATCAAAGACAAATCGTAAAATCGTAGATATGGAAGAGATATTCCATGAAATGCCATGGTCCAGTGGCTCTTCCATCGTTCATCGTTCAGATGGTGGCGCATTGAGCCAAGTTTCGCTCGGATGGCTTGTGCTGAACCTTCTGGGTTGCCTGGTGCCGATCCTTCTCCATTGCCTTGTATTGATCCCAGCAGTGCTCCCAGATCTCTGGCGAATCACAAAGATAACCCATCACCGGGGCAAAGTACTGTCGTTTGATCGAGAGAGTGACCCAGGCCAAGGTACCGTAGCATTCGATGCAGCTGTTCATCAGCTCCCAGATGGTAATGACACGACGCGAAAGCTTGGTGCGTTCTCTGGTAGGGTTTTGCTCGTTCAGGAGTTGACGATTGCGCAGACAGAGGAAAGGACTGTGGACCCATTCCTCATACATATCCATGTACAAAGCAAGCAGTCGTTGCTCAAGGTAACGAGACTTTTTCATATTCCTGTTCATTGAGTATTAGAGGTGCTGAAGTAGAGGGTAGTGCGACTTACTTAGCGAACACAGTCGCCATCTTGCAGAGTCGCTCGTAGGCCGAGGTAGCCTCTACCGAGATGTCTTCCAAGGCGTAAGAAACCTCTTCGGCAGTCTGCAGCTGCTCTCTGAGCATCTCTTCCATGAATTCGATGTGGTTGAGAACGGTCTCGAGGGGGAGCTCTGCATCTTCGACTTCTTTGGGAGCCAGAAACTCCGGGCTTTGGTGAAAGATGACAAGGTTGAACTGAAGGGTAGCGTTGATGATAGTAATGAATTGGTCGCGGATCTCAGGACGCATTTGCGGGTCGGCGAGAAGGTCCCGCAGCTTTTCGAGGACGACCTGGCTGCGGCAAGACGGGTCACTTTGGAAATATGGAATGATGTTAGGGTCGACATGGACCATGCGGATCTCTTGCTGAGCGGCTCTGCCGAGAGCGTAGATCCATGCTTCCTCGTGGCGATTCTCGGCTGCGATGGAAGATGCAAGCATCTCACACTCGGACTCGTTGTATTCGGGGAATGGTTCAGTATCAGGGAATGGTTCAGTCTCTGTGTTTGCAGTATCTGCGTTGGTGGGAGTAGTAGGTCCAGATTCCTCCGATTCCGAGTCCATCGCGACTTGAGAGCGGACAACCGCGAGACCTGAGCCTGGTGGGAGGTCGTCCATTTTGCGAAGATGGGGTGGATGTTGAGTTACATGAGGGGGAGAAGAGGGAAGAAGGGGGAGAGAGACGAGGTGTTGTTAGAACGAGACAGACTGCTGCCATAATTATGCATTGAAGTTATTGAATAAGACGCGCGCGTGACAATGGACAATAGCCAATAGACAATGTGACAATATGACAATAAGATTGAATAGGAAGTATGACTATACATGAATTTACCGCTGCTCAATCCAAAAGCGCTAATAGATCAGACTCGAGGGTCAGAACGCTCCTTTACAATTGAGTGGTGGACTGTCTTCCCCAAGAACGCTGCCTGATTGATGAAGCAGCGAATGACTTGAGAACAAGACGTTCTCGAGCCAATCATTTGCTTCTCAGGCAGACAATCAAGAGTTAACGAAGGCAGTTATTGTTCTTCGCACATTGACTAATCGACGTCTCATGGGGCAGAGGAGGACGGCAACTTAAGTAGTGCGAGTTCGTTGCTTGGAACTATTCTTCCTTCATTCCAACGTCGTCCGGTACTGGGACATCCATATCATTCTCGTCACCTGGTATTGGGACGTCCATGACTCGTTCGCCAGCCTTTTCGAGCGTTCGTCTACTCCATGACCGAACACCTTTGTAGACAGCCTGTCTGCGGGTTAGCCAAGTCAGATATAGTCAAATGTGACCACACATACCCAAAGGAAAGTACCGATGCCAACCATGACCACTAGCCAGTTCAACTGGGCGGCCCGGTTACGGCCCGAATTGCGCCCTGATGCGACAGACCGGAGATTCCAGGGAAAAGGCGACAGCGCAAATATGGTCTTGAGGAACGACAACAGGCCTAAAGACGCGAGTCCTTTGAGAAAGTGTCCCAACCAGGAGGCATCTTCCTCGACCAATTCGGCGTAAACATCCGTGGGGCCCAAGTAAAAATCAATGATGGGGTCAGCAATGAATCCAAGCAGGAATACGGTTAACAAAAGAATGCCGAGTGTGAGGATTAGCTGGGTAGTGGCGCTACTGATCCACCGAGCCCAAGTCAGACGCTCCAGGCGATACTGGAAGCCGCAGGTGGGACATTGCCAGAAGTTTCTCGTCCCATATTTGGGGTCGGCATGGCGCCATGACTGCAAGCAGCCCTCGTGAACATAACGCGAGGAGCCTTTGCATTGACAAGGGCTTAACAGACGGCCAGATTCTGGATCGGAAGATTCATAAACCACTCGAGGCTTCTGGAGGAATTCTGAGGGTTGGAAAGTCGGCAGCACGCTTTCTAGGCAAATGCGACAGACCCGTGGAGGGTAATGCTGTGTGTCTGCCATTGGTTCTCACATCGAGATTTACTCGAACCTTGACAAGAGAAGGCCGAGGGAGAATTACTATTTCTTTTTTGAGGTGTTGGAAAAAAGAGAACGACAAGAAGAGGAAAAGCAGAAAAGCCGAAGGTGTCCCAAACCCCACGGCTAATCCCGATCTGGTCACCGCCTTTCGTGAGCTCTACCGCGCCAAACGTCACCCATCTCTGCCTACAACACAGCTTCCTTCTTTTGATCTTTCCATCTCCTCCTCTTCTCTTCCTGTTAACAGCAAATCATGGCGGACCGATACTCATTCTCCTTGACTACATTCTCTCCCAGGTAAGGACAACTTGTCGTATGGAATTGACAGCGTGCTAACCCAGCTCCATTACAGCGGAAAGCTGGTGCAAATTGGTAGGGACCATCGTTTCTGAGCTTAGGCATCAATAACTGATCAATATAGAATATGCCCTGAACGCCGTCAACCAGGGTGTGACTGCCCTTGGTATCAAAGGTACCCAAATGCCCAAGCTCTCCCACATAGCACCAAGCTGACCGCCCCCGTGATAGCTACGAACGGCATTGTCCTCGCGACTGAGAAGAAGTCCTCCTCGCCTCTGATCGACCCTCCCTCGCTGTCCAAGATCTCACTGATCACGCCGGATATCGGTATGGTCTACGCCGGCATGGGCCCCGACTACCGGGTGCTGGTCGACAAGGCCCGCAAGGTCTCGCACACAGGCTACAAGCGCATCTACAACGAATACCCACCTACTCGTATACTGGTTCAGGACGTCGCTCGGGTAGTGCAAGAAGCTACGCAATCCGGTGGTGTGCGGCCGTACGGTGTCAGTCTGTTGGTCGCAGGCTGGGACGAGGGCGTTGAGCCTGAGTCGGAAGAGGCTAAGAAGGATGACCCCGAGGAGAAGATCTCCAGCAAGACTGGCGGTATCCAGAAGGGTGGGCCCAGTCTGTACCAGGTCGACCCCAGTGGCAGCTACTACCCATGGAAGGCGACGGCCATCGGCAAACACGCAACGAGCGCCAAGACCTTCCTCGAGAAACGGTACACTGAAGGACTAGAATTGGAAGACGCCATCCATATCGCGCTGTTGACACTCAAGGAGACGATTGAGGGTGAGATGAATGGTGACACAATAGAAATCGGTGAGTTTTTGTTATTTTTGCCTCGTTTCCTCCCATTATGGCTGCTTGGGTATCCAGGGGTCTGCTGAATATCAACTAACTTCTTTTCAGGCATTGTCGGCCCCCCAGCGGACCAACTGCTTGGCTTCGAAGGAGTGGAGGGTGCTCAGGGACCACGGTTCCGCAAGTTGACCAAGGAGCAGATCGAGGACTACCTGACCAATCTATGAACGAGAACACATAATTTATGTAGACTCGAATGAAACATTACCTTTTTGTCTGGTGGTGATTGACATTTTCCCATTACAAATCGCACGGCCACCCACAGACGGCTACCTACCTAAATGGTCTACTTTATGTCACCTCCATACTCCATATCTTGATGGCAAAACCAGGACGCTTCGAAGCGTCAGAAAGATGGTCCGAGCCACCTTGATTTAAAATTTCAATCTTCTTTCCATTTCTTACAATCGTCCGCTTACACGGCCTGTCCTGCAGGACTTTACTCTCCAAATATCCAGTTCCAAGCTTGGTTCGACATCATCATTATTATATTGTACACCGTCATATTGCTAATGAAGCCACCCTCCCAGACTCCACAAACATCCTCCTTTGAACAACTTGGCCTCCGACCGGCAGAGCCAAAAAGTCCTTCGGCTCAGCCTGCTCATAAGGCGAATCCTCACTGCGATCCGGCGTCTCAGGTGGTCTCTGCATCGAGCAAAGAGGCAACGTATCAGCAATAGCGAGGGAAATAGGATGTCTGGACCCCTGGATGAGATCTACCAGACGACCAAGCACGGCAAACTCAAGCTTGAGTTTGATCGAGTAAATAAATCCCTTCATGGTGATTTGCACGGCGTAAAAATTGGCATATTCGAGACACAAAAGCAGCAGATCCATCCCTATGATCGCGCAGTTGATCCCGATCAGCTGGTACATGATGCTGCGTGCATCCGGGCGCGAAGACACATCTGCCCCAAGACGCAGCAGCTTAACTGTCTCTATCACATACAGCGTTGACAGCAGACTCTCTTGAATCGTGAACCCGGTCAGCTGGATCTTCTCCATGATATTGTACCCATTCACCCAGGCGACGTCGCCGCTGTGGACTATGTTCGCGCCGTAAGTGAGGATTGTTGTGGGTACATGCAGGAGCAAGACATTTGCAACGATGAGCTGCAATACACGGCGCAACATGCGCTCATCCCGTAGCACAAGGTGGAGTCGTGAGTACAGCACCACCGATTGACCAGTCACCATGGTCCACCAGCCGATAGTCAGGACTGTGACCGACAGCACGGAATCAGTCTGAGTAAAGAACTTCATCAGGAAGCCGATTGAGTATGGCACGACACCGAGCACTCCTGTGATAAGCAGGGACCAGAAATAGAGCCCGCGCCACCGGCGGAATGTGGCTGGGACGAGTACGACTAGTTCAGCGACGTTGTAGCATGATAATCCGATGAAAGCGACGAGGATCATCTGTAGCACGTTACCCTCTTTTGCGAGGGCACCGGATATGCCATCCAGCAGGTCCTGGGGAATGTTGGACATGATTGTAGAGGAGACTCATTCGGGGCTTTGGGAGGAGCTATATGAGCGACCGGACTCGAGGAGGGAGTCTGGTTCACCCGGTCTGGTATGTCCACATATTCTTATGGACGGGGAAATGAAAGAATTTTGAAGAAAGGAAAGAAGAAAAAAGGCGAAAAGATCAATGAATGAATGCAGTGTGGAATATGGACTGGTCGTACAGGGCCAGAAAGTGTCAATGCTCATGCAGATCAAGTTTTGGACTCGTCTAAGCGCGTGAAAGAGAAACAAACGAAACAAGCCTTATTCAAGGGTGTGCATGGGGTATTCATAGGCAGGTTCACTCTAAGGGGGCCAAAAGTCTGGGGTAACCCTGGGGCCGGGGGGGACCTCGGGAGGAAGCGGTTAAATCTCATTCAATAGTCCGGCATCGGAGTTGGGGGCCAGGTCTATTAATTTATATTGCGCTGGTGGGAATTGTGAAGGATTCGAAGGATTTTGAATATCTGGTGGGATTCTTTTCATTTTTGCATGTGAGAAAAACAGACTTCCAAGGTTGGTCTAAAAACAAATCCCAAAAATAGATATGTATTGAAAGAAATATCCAACAAAGATATTAAAAAGACATACAACATAGTATTCTCTACTACCATCTTATGATGCTTATAATCTAATAATCGGTCAACATAATATATCATTTCACGATTAATTCGTGTTCAGCGTTGTTTCGTCGGTCCATGGGACCTCCTCTTCCTCGGAGTCTTCATCCTGACTGTCAGCTACCTCCTCCACTTTCCGTTTCTTGTTTGGTGTCTGCACAGGCTGTTCTGGTGACGCCGACTTAGACGGCGATGGTTTTGGAGACTCCAATTCTGGGGATGGTGGTGCAGAAGACAGCACAGAGGATATAGGCGAAGGAATCGGGGTAGGAGGATCATAGTACTCAAAGTCGGGAGGGGACTTTGGCAAGGGAGTCAGAGGCTGGGAGGGCGGAGATTCCTTTCTCTCCATTTCATAAAGACCATCCTAGACAAGTTAGAAGCGCAATCGCATGCAACAGTCCAGAGACATCAACATACCGGTTCAATGCGAAATGCAACGAGCAGCTCCCCGGCTTGCTCGGGCAATGGCTTACCCGCGCGCTTCTCAACCTCTGCGAATCGCTCATCCGGCAGGTCGCGATAGACCGCAATGCGTGTTTGCACGCTGGCCTCCCACGCGCTACCCGACAAGAGTGGCTGCAGAACCGCGTGAGATTGGGGCTTGAATTTCGTATGGCATTGATTAATAGCCAACACGGCAATATTTCTCGCGGCGAGTCTAGCTAGATGCGTTGCTAGCTCGCTAGCAATATTCCATTTGCGATTGAGCAGCCATTGCAGGTGTGCTTTATCGGTGATTTTGCCCTCGGTGAGTTGGTCCTTGAGCTCTTGCGGGCTGGGGAAGTAAGCTGGGAATAAATTCGACACAGAGTCGACAACAATAAGATTTGTTTCCGGCGGTGGAAATCCCTTTGGTGGACGTGCAAGCAGGGCTATAAGATGGGCCAGCGTATGCGCTCGAAAATAGATAAAGTCATCGAGGTTGACGGACATCTCCTCGAGCCTGGGACTGGGCAAGGGACATCCCGTATCTAACGGTGTGAGTAGGACAGCGCAGCTGACTCAGGGGACCAGCAGGAACATACCAATCCAGACTACTTTGCCGTCGCGTAGTGCATTACATGCAATATTCAACCTGTAAATGGGTCAGATCGGACTCCGGCGGTGTGAATAGGAGTGCACTCACGCCAGCGATGTCTTCCCGGCTCCTGGGGGTCCGAATATTTCTGTAACATGTCCACGCAGGATGCCGCCTTGATTGGGCTGGTCTGGGAAGTCATTCAGGGCCTCATCCAGACGCGCCAGGCCCGTCGCGATCGGGTCGCGGGTGGCGGCCGACGCGTTGAGGGACTGCGATGCTGAGATCGAGACCACGGGCACTGGGGAGTAGTTTAATGCCTGTATTTTTTTTTTCTAGGCCATTTGGAGAAATTACTTACGCGTGTCTTCATCGTCGAACCCTTCGAGACCGTCGAGACCGAGAAGGTCCATGTTGATGCTCATGGGTGCATCAGGATGGCTGGCAGCAAAGCCAATGCAAAGCCAATCTAGGAGAAAAATAGGGAAATAAATTCAAGCTCCAACGATGTATTCAATCTCTAAAATTGACATTAAAAAGGCCATCATAAGCAGGGCAGTGGGATGTTGACGGTTCGGAGACCCGGGAGCGGGATTTTTTTCCCTCTCAATCTCGAGTCCTGCATACTATACTCCCCATGTCCAATATCGACGCCCTCGGGGATATGCTCCCGAGTTTGATCGTCCTATTATTTCTGCCTGTGCTTTTTCTTGTTCTGAAAACACTGAAGACACTGAAAATACCAATCAATCCCAAAGGATGTCGCCGCCTAGGACTTCCACCAGGCCAAAGCAACCTAGACGATGAATTCGACTCTAAGGGCAGCCAGGGTCTATCCAGTGATCAAAATGATCACGGTCGCCCATCCTGGCGCGTGAAAGCACTGTTCAGCTACCCACTCAAATCCTGCGGTGCGGTCGAGCTGCAGGTCTCGAACGTCGTACCAACCGGGCTTGAATTTGATAGACAATTCGTCTTTGCAGAGTACAACAATGATGAATGGAACATTCGCACCCTGCGTAATGCAGGCTTCAATCGCCTAGCCTTGATCCATCCCGAGATCTGGGTTCCTGACCCGTCTGCCCCAGATTATGATGCAGACCTGCCAGAAGTCAAATCGCAGGGTGTGATGCTGGTATCGTATCCACGAATGCCGCCAGCAGGATGGAAGGGTCTACCCATCAAGGTCGGCATGACACTCAAGTTTCTCAACAGCCAGCAGACGTTCCAAGTCCCGCTGCTTCCACCCGCGGACTCCAAGTTCCCACTGGTCCCAGTCAAGATCTGGAAAGACAAGCCTCTAGCCCATGACTACGGCAGACTGCTCCCAGCATCACTACACGTATACCTCGGGTCCGACCCATCAAAAAGCACCCTGACACTCTTCCGCGCCAGTGCACCCCATTCACGGCAGATCTTCCGTAACGCACCGCGCAAAGCAGATTTAGGCTTCCAGCCAAACACGGCCTTCGCAGACGCGTATCCAATCCATCTACTGAGCATCTCAAGTCATCGGGACGTAGCAGCACGCTGCGCCTACGCAATCCCAAGACTGAGCATCCGCCGCTTCCGCGCAAATATTATCGTCCAAGGCCCATCTGCCTTTGAGGAAGACCACTGGAAACGGCTTGCTATTGGTGGCGTGGAGATCCACGCTTCTTGTCGGACTGTTCGGTGCCGGCTGCCCAATGTTGATCCTGTTTCTGGGGATAGACATAAGGCTGAGCCGGATCGGACGCTGAAATCATATCGGCGGATTGATGATGGGGATCGGACTAATGCGTGTTTGGGGATGCAGCTTGTACCTGCGAAGGAGGAGTTTGTACTGAGGGTTGGGGATTCTGTTGAGGTGCTTGAGACCGGGGTGCACAAGTATATTAAGATGTTGGCTCCTGGGGAGAAGGTTGAGGGGGTATAGGCAAGTTCCACAATATTAACTAGTGTGTATCATCATGTATGATACATTGTCACAATTGTATTTCAAGAGAATTAGGTTAAAAAACAGATCTTCCAAGGTTATGTGCCATGATCTTCAGGTAGAACCTGGGAAGTTACAGGCAACTACGATCCAGGGCAATCTTGGAAGGTCTAGTAGACCAGCCGTTAGCCGCTCTGTTTTCTGTGTGCTTTTAAGAGTGTCCAATGAATACTGACCAGTCATTTTGGCTTGCATATTTCGGTGAATAACCGGCCCGATAAGATACATTTCTACAGAGACATGTTGCATTCTCCCTCTTCCTTTTTTCTTTTCTGAGTTTACTTCTTCTCCATGTGTTATGTCCCGCGCGAAGTCTAGGGGCATATGCCCTTCTCACAGCGACATTATCCTACCGATGCAAGATCCCTATATGACTCAAATTGTCGATGGAAGGAAGAACTACGAGGTTCGAAAATACTGCCTCAGACCTAGTGTGAAAAGAATCTGGTTCTATCGCACTGCTCCGCACTCTAGCATCACGCATGTCTGTGAAATACTATCCGCGCGGACGCGGAATTCCGGCGATCCTCCACTAGAGGAAAACGGGCTGGGTAGTGCCGAATTTAACAGTAGACACAAGGACTGGAATGGCTACGATTATGCCTACAAAATGATCACTGTCTGCGAGCTCCCGTGCCCGATCACCTTAAAGGAGATGAAGGAGAAGCATGGCTTTAAATTGGCACCGAGGGGTCTCATCTATCTACCCAAGTCGATTAATAATAGTGTCGATTTGAAGCAACAAAAACTAGTAAGAAACCTGATATTCAGCTGTTGAGCCTACGCTGATATATAGGCAGTTGCTCGATAGGAGAAATGAAGTCCATGCCTTAGATCTTCTGGTAGATAATTGTGGAGTTGATGATTGCAAGCGTGTACCTGGAACACTCTAGAGATTGGCTCTACCTACAAGCATTGTTTTACGTGAATTGTTGGCAAAACAGAGAGCAGCACTGGCTTCACCTAGACATCTAGGAAGGGGCATTGCTGACATATTCCACTCAAGAACCAAAGCCAGTCAAACATCATTGCTAATCTCATCCAAAACTTGGAACAAAACATGATTCTGTACTCTGCACCCAGTGCCATTCGCACCAGCCCGGAACCCAGACCAAATCCTCCGTCGGATCTCATCAACATCAATCCCTTTGGTATTGTACTGATTAATCATTTCTTCCGCAATGGCACAAAGTGTCGAATTAAGCACATCTTCATCCGTCGTCAGTGAATCCTGTCTCTCAGCTCGACATCCACAAAAAGCCGGATCTTCCTCTTCTTGCTTCGGCTCGCTGCTCTGCGGTGCTGATTCAGTGCTCTTTGTAGTCGCCAGCTTGGTCTCCGGATCCTTGTAGATTCGAGGAATCTCCATAGCCAGTTTCGAGCTGGGGGTTTCATTTTCTGGTCGCCGAATGGCAGGAATAGCAATCTTTCGATTGACATTTACTGCATCGGCATCATGTAGATATTTCTGAACAGAGCCCGTCGAAACACCGAGTGATTCCAAGAGAGCTTTCAAATGCCGGTTCTCGGCTTCGACTTTTTGCATCGATAGTCTGTGCGCGATGTCTTTTTCTTGTGCTTCTTCTTTACATACTGCCAGGCTCTGCTCTAGCTCCTTCACGTACTCTTGCTTGCGGGCTCTGCTTTTGCGCTGATTATCGCGCACGCGCGCGAGTCGGTCCACATCCTGATATGCTGGTCAGAGTTTGGGTCCTGGGTGTAACTACTACGAGCTGGTGGTACTTACCTTCTGACCTTTGGGGTCCATCGACGTGATGGATTTGGAATATAGCCGATCTTTGTGGGGTCAGTCGGAATCTTTATGTACAATCATTTGCGCGGCTTTGGTCTGCTTTATGTGGCAGGTTGGAGATCTCCCTGGGAAAATGATGATCTTTGCGGCTTCCTTTTTTTGGCCACTCGGGTGGTCACGTGGCAGGTTTTATAAGCCTTTCCTTTTGTGTTTTATAAAATGAATCAACTGGTGATATATGGGCGTCTTGTGTTGTATAAGAATGTGGTTGTTTTTGAATTTATTAGAAGTGTGGAGAATCTTCACAGAGATACGCCGAGGTATAATATCCCAACACAAGAGAATGTCCAAATAGAGTTATTACATACATATAAAGATTTAGGTACCCGAAATCAACGTCAATTCAATATACTTGTAGAATCAACGTATATCCCTGTTCCCCTATATACTTGATTTCCTCTGCCACTTCTTTTCACTTTCCGTTTTAGTGCTCAGTCATTGCCGCTTTTCACTGAGTAGAAATGAGCACGCCCCTGAGCTGTCTGATCCACTCTTACCTGCAGCCTATCCACTAGCCAGAACCCGTTTCGGCACTGAATTCTGCCAATTTTCTGCCATTAATTCTAGTTTACATAGTAAAAAAACATGCATTTTGGTCACGAAAATTTGCTTATTCTATCTGATTCCTATTGATGATAGAGTTGACCATGAAGCTGGTGACGATAGAGCTGTCGAAAGGGTAGAGACTGAGATAAGACCACAGTGACTTAATTTTGTTAGAGGTTTACATACAAATTGCAGGTATCTAGTTACCGTCTTTATTGTATGGGAAGTTCGAACGAAGGCGGCGTGTAAAACAAGAAGAACTAGGTGTCAAGGCAGGAGCGGTACCCAATTAGGAAAGTGGACCTAAAACTTCAGGCAAGGGGGAGTCCGATCTAGCCGAGGGGTCGCTGTAGCACAACCTTGGAACTCTTGATATATCCTACCGTCGTTTGCAAGCAGAATGTATGACGAACACCCACGAAAAATAAGATCACATCATTCAAAATCGCGTTCAGGATGTAGAACGTGCAAGTGAGTTCCCCAAAATTGTGTACTCACGCACCAACTAAACGCTGTAAAGGATACGACATAAGAAATGTGACGAAACGCATCCCGCTTGTCTCAAATGTACAAGCTCGGGCAGGGAATGTGATGGTTATAAACAAGCCGTCGATAAGAGGACGCGCGAGTGGCGTGACTCCGAAGCCAGAGACTCTGCCAACAATCAGAACAATGTAGCTCTGCAAATCCGATATCGCTCGAAAGTCCGGTCGGTTACTGCCGTTCCTCTGCCCTTGGCCAGTGCCAACCAGATCGACCTTACCTGGAACGAGCGATGGCATCTGGATTTCTACCACAATCGCACAGCGGTACAATTTTCGCATTACTTCCAAGACTCATTCTGCTACAGATTGGTTATCCAAATGTGCGAAAATTATCCTGCTGTGCGTCATGCTACGATTGCTATAAGTGCATGGCATATCCAGTTGGAACGAATTCCAACGAGCCATAAAGAAGATCGGGATCCCCGTCTGGCTCTTCATCATTCTACAAAAGCCATTGCTTGCCTCCGAGAAAGTCTCGCTAGGGAAATGCTAACTCCGCACGGCTCAAACCGCACCCACAAGCAAGTAGTGCTAGTCACATGCTTGATTTTTACCGTCCTTGCTCTATTCCAGGGAGATCTTGATTCTGCTCGCTACCACCTTACCTCTGGTTATAAACTTTTCAAAGAATGGGATGTTCGGGAAGATAAAGATGATACTGGCCTGGCCCTGAGACGGGCTTTTGCCCAGATGCACGTCCACTGGTTCTTCTGCTCTCATTCCGAGTTATTTGTCGTGGATGCCGAACTACTCCATGGCGAGTATCTGGTATCCCCGAACACTACAGCCGCTCTATCAAAGATTACCCCGCATCTATATTCGGGTATTGATCAGATGGATCGTGTCCAAGAATTTTCAACCCTCGTCTCGGGTTTTGTGCTGGATTGCACTACCTGCGGGTTTGATATTGGACCAGCAAGCTCCACCGGCCGCGGCGCGAAAGCAGTCTTGACCAAGCTTCGTTTCTGTAGAAGTCGTCTCATGGCCGTCCTCGTCGAATTGGATGGTCTTGCTCCAGAGGACTGCGATTCACTTAAAGTCTTCTCATTATGGATCGATATCATCGAGATCAAGCTGGCTGTCGCCAAAAGCCAAAAGCCAGATGAGATGGTTTACGATAATCACCTGGAGCAGTTCCAGCATATCACAAAACTTGTACAAATTCTAGCAGGCTCGGTTTCGGGCTCAAGTGACATCGAATTCTCGCACTTCAAGTACAGGTACTGTATTTTGCCTGCACTCTTGTGGTCTGCGACCAAATGTCGCGATTGGCAGGTCCGTCGTGACATGTGTTCTATAATGCAAAAGCGACCGGGAGATGACTACTGGACATCTGCGACAACTGTGGCCTTGAAGAGACTGATTGATGTGGAGTCAGCTGGAGTGAAGCCGGGGGACATCATTCCTGAGACTGCTCGGGCCTACTTGGTCAACGTGAAGATTCAATCCGAGGAATCAAAAGTTGAGCTACGGTATCGCAGGCCTCAACACATGTCACACTCGAAGCATGGTGGTGATGAATGGGAAAGCGACTCAATAAATTACTAGCATCTTCCAAAATATATCCACTTTACAACATGCGCCACTTCTACCACCGTTCTCATAATCTAGGGGGGCCATGGCAAACCTCCAGCGCAGCGAAACTTCAAATAAACTACTACCGAATGACCTTGGGGAAAACAAAATGATGGTTTAGGTACTTTGATAGAGTTGAAGATAGCGTGGCCAAAGCAAGTACATAGTTACATGTAACTAACTAGTTAACTAGTTAGCTACTTATGTACATGTTCTACTGCACCAAACCATCCCATCGATTCAAATCCTTCAATCCCAACAATTCCATAACATCCTGGCCTTTGAGCCATTCCTCAAAATTTTTCCCTTGCACATGAGACTTTAACTGAGCAGGCTCAACAACACTCTCTAGACCAGCACAGTAACCAAATTCATCAATAAATGCAGGGCCACCCAGAACCTCAAGAGGAACTCCTGTTTTCTCATGCATCTCTTGAACACCCATTTCAATTACCTTAGCCGGCTTTCCAAGAGCTTTGGACCACACAGCAGTAATCTCCTCAACAGAGAGATAGTCGTCGTACGCCAGCAACTTCATACCAGGCGCCTCATCTTCCACCAACGCCCTGACAAAGGGACCGGTCGAGTGCGCGGTATCGATGATGGGCATGCGCATTGACTTTCTCGCCGGCAAAACGGAGACAAACTCCTTGCTTTCCGGCTGGTACTTCGGATAGAGGAAAGGGTTAGAGATATAAGCACCGACATAGATGAACGATGCTTTCTTCGCCAACTCGGGTATTTGCCCAATATAATCGGCGATATAGGCTTTCGTCTCCCAGTGATAAGAGAGCGCGTACTTGCCCCCAGATGCAGCCTTCATCGGACCCAGGGCTGAGTAGATGAGTCTCTCCAGGGTGGGGATAGTCGCTGCGACATTGGCTGCATTCTTCCCGTGGGTGGTTTCCGTTTCGTAGCCTTCCTTGGCACTGGTCAGGGCGTCAGTGCCTGAAGCCAGGGCTGCGCGATATGGTAGCCAGAAATCAGTGTTGAGGAAGATGGCATGTGCGCCGTCGAACGCTCGGCGTAGAGAGTCTTCATCCTCGAGATTTGCTTGTACTAGCTCGCCACCCAGTTTGGCAAGCTGGAGGGCTTTCTCGGAGGTTGGGTCTCGAGTGAGGCATCGGACATGCCAGTTGGGGAGGGTGAGAAATGTTCGGGCAACTGATGAGCCTTGAGTGCCGGTTGCACCGACGATAGCAATGGTCTTCGGTTCGGTCATTGTATGGAGGTTTTGGGGGGTTGTCAAATATAAAATAATGTGAATAGAAGGTTGGCTTGGTTCTTCTGTCCCTTAAGGGGGAAATAATTGTAATTTATAGTTTAAGGCTCTTGTCAACCGATAGAATGATTTTGATCCCAAGATATATAGTTCGAACGATATGATTGGACGAAAAGTGTAAGCCAGTGTGGCTTACGCTGTGGCTTACGGGTGTTTGGGGCTCGGGGCCTTCGGAGTTAAGAACTCTTGTTCTTCACAGTCTTTGCATTTTGTAGTTTCTCACTGATCCACATATCTGATCTGGCTTAAGGGGAAATCACATGTCTACAATAATGTCTGTTTCCATAATAGGAAATGACCAGCCCCCGGAGGTCCCTGCTAACCAGCCCAAGAGGCGAATCATCACACCAGCACGCCAGGAGCAGAACAGAATTTCACAGCGAGCATATCGTATGGAAATCCCTTTACTTTAAGTGTGACCGATATTTATTCTATTTCACAGGTGAGCGACAGAAAGAGCGCAAAAAGCGTTCTACCACTCATGGGCAAGCGAGGAAGCTCGCCCCTCAACCATTATCATATTCACCGAGTAGTTCGCCTAGCACTCGCTCTGAATCAACGACAAAACCAAACTCCCCATCATCTTTAGTTCAATATTTGGCCCTCGGCCATAGGGCTGGCACATCACCACTATTGCCGGCTGATCCAATGATGAATGCCATGCAAACCTCTCAAGATACCGTCCGGATGGCACTTCTAAACAACGCAATTTGCCTGGGATTTGATCTCGATCAATTAGCGGATTGTAACAAGCCATACATATCACCATTTTTCAGATCTATCGCGGCACAAGATAGCCCACAGGACCTCGTCGCGTCAACCTTCAACACTTCAATACCAATCAATCTCCAACCTACCATGGCCCAGATTCTTGTCCCTCATCATGCCAGCCTGGATCTGATACCAATGCCACTCCTCCGAGAACGTGCTATCATGATGTCTTTTGCAATGCCAGACGCATTCAACCTTTGGGATCTGAAGTTGGATGTTTATACGCGGCATGCACTTGTTTGCCGGAGTCATCGCCCTGAAGGCACTTGTCAACCATGGGACCAGAAGAGCTGGGAGGCAATGCCGTGGTTTTTGAAGAAGTGGAGTATGACAATCGAAGGATGATCAAGTATGTAACTAGGTTATGAATATACAAGCACAGCAATGTATAATTTGGTACTTCTTGATTTTCTATGGAAATAGGGAAAATACTGCTCTATATGTATATAAAATGGTTGTTTGTAGTTAGCCCGTAACAGCCATCATCCCTGTCATATAATCTTCCAAGCTTTGTTGCCAATCCTTGGCAGTTGTCTCCCTCCGTCTCACCCCTTACCATTTATTCCATTAATTCTCTCCTTCCGTTGCCAAAATGACCGATCCCACCTCTCGTACCGAAGCAAGACAAAAATCCACAGACATCAGAAAGAAACAAGCCGAGAGCCTTGCAGGACTCCCGCGTTTTGGGTTGGGTGGCCCACTCGCTTGTGGAATACGTTATATATATTATTGCCTTATTACAGGCTTTAGATGATCTGATGATAGATAGATGAGATACGAATGGGTCCGTCATCCCTCACAGGCTGTCAATTATTACCTAGGACATTTGACTGGCAGGGGCATATTGCGGATTTTCGTCCCATCGGTCATACGTTTGATGGGTTGGTTGAAATATAATATGTGATTAGCCCACCGCTACTCCTTTCTCCACCTTGGAGTAGCTAAAGTATTTCGGTGGAATAAATAAAAACTCTGTATAACTGTCGCAACGCAGGTCTATATGCAAAGCAATTGGTGGGAAAGACGAATTCGACTCTACGGACGGCCGAGAATATGGTTTATGGATTATCGTAGCGGAAGTACATATATGTTCTTACGACTCCTACAGGGCTGACGTTTGGCTCGCCTTCTTGATCTAAGAATCCAGGGAGGTCTAAATCAGTGCCAGATAATATATGATCCAAGATTCCAACAATATTAGCCCTATCATAATTATTCATGAGGCTAAAATTAATCTAGGGTAAAATTATGGTGGCAATAATATTAGAGTCGTTCGGTGTTAGCCGGAGATAAGGAAGTCCGACCGCTCAGTATAGTCCAGGATATCAAGGAGACCGATGTTCTGCAGAGTTGATATCTTAGCGCCTGTGATAGTGATCGTTGCTGCGTGGGCGCATAGTAGGCTATGAATAAGCTGGGCCGTAATCCATGGATTGGTTCAAATGAGGAGGGCAGGCATGTCAGCTAAAAATGCCACGTCAACATGAGACCGACGGTCCAGGACGCAGGTGCGTTGGAAAAGATCAACATCGAATCATAGAGTCAACTTCGGACGCCTACTTTATGCAGCTCATCTCGAAAAGGCTAGGTCATTCAATAATGTGGGGCAGCTACGCGCCTTGATTTAAATGTCAAATAAAATCATAGCACCACCTCAGCAACATCTGAAATGTGTCACCATCCCAGGACATTGATCGCGAGGTCTACGCCAAGAACCCGACTCTAAACAAGATGGACTTTCAGGAACACACTGTGCATATACTAGAGAAACCTCGCCGTACGGCTGTGAATCTAAATAGAGTCTGGAGATAATGCTAACTTTTAACAGAAAACAGTGAAAAATACCATGGCCGCTCTTCGACCTTGGATCATGAACTTCCAGTATGGCAGCCTCTCCGCCCATATACCCCAACATTCTAATGCATTCAGGTCAAAACTGACTTTGCGCAAACCATCATGTGAGTTTAGTTTTTCATGCGTTCTAAGTGCTGTACCACTGATATTCCACGAATAAAGATTTACATCCACAGACGAGATTGCAAATTGGGTGACCAAGGAGCATGGCAGCTTCTTCCCTTATGAGTTTCGACTAGCTGTGTCAAGAAATCTTAATGGGGCTTTTGGGTGTGAGTATTATGAAGACAGTAGCGGAAAAATTACGGCTCATGGTTGGTCTTTTCTTTTATATGCCAGCCTCACAGGCCACAAATTATGCTTACGGCCAGCAGACTCTTGGAGCCTTTTCAAAATCAAACGTGTATGGAAAATTCCTGGATCCTTGCGAATATACGATGAGTGGATCCAGCTCGTCATCTTTGTACGCCAGGACTGGGCCAGATCGCAGCAACTCGTGATATTCCTCGATTGCCCAGATTATCTTCGTTCCGAGTTATCTGTCCTATCTCCAACCAAGCAAAACGATCCATATATCTGGCATACTGTCTTGATTGACGAGGTAAAAAAGATCTATGATTCAACAATCTGGGGTCTTCGAGGGGCAGTGTGGGATATTGAGAAGGTAAGTTGCCGCCAATTCCATATTGAAACGCGACGTTAGACCACTAAGCGTGATTCTTGCGGTTCCAGTATCAAAAAGACCTGGGAAAGTTCCAGCCACAATTTCTCTTGCTTCACGACATAGCAAGACATATCAGTCATTCAAAAGAGATCTTGGACGTGGCACTAGACACCTTGGACAGTGCAATTCACGACTACTCCATGTTGAATGAGCAACAACCCAATTCATCTTCTGAGAGCGCATGCGATTCTAAGAAAGTTCAAAGGCAGTTGTACTTTGCGTCAAAAAGCATTCGCTCTACCAGATTTCGCTGTATTTCGCTCAGTGAACGACTACAAAACGAGATCAATTTGGTGAGCATCACACAGAAGCGTACATAGAATGCTCTGCGGCTAATACCACCGTAGGCATTCAACATTGTCTCTCAACGAGATAGCGAAGTATCAGTTCAGCTGGCAAAGCACTCGCTCAGTGATAACACAATGATGAAGACGGTGGCAATTGTAAGCATGGTTTACCTTCCGGGCACCTTCGTATCGGTAGGTTAGATTGAAGCAGGCTGTACTTCCCTCTTTATTCTCAGCTGCTTATTTGATCAAGGGGATTTTCGGCATGAACCTTTTTGACTTTAACACAGCAAAGAAAAATTTGAACGTGTCCAAGGAGTTTTGGCTCTATTGGCTGGTCACCATTACCCTAACACTCACCACAACCTGTCTTTGGGCGTTATACGTGAATCGAGATGCCATTAAGCATTTTCTCAAGAAGCTGACACTAGCGAGCAAGAAGCCTCAAGGCCATTATTCTAGCAACGCTGCGTGAGCCCCTGCTTCAGCAGGAGACGGATTAAACCATCTCCAAATACCTTTGGATTGTCTGTACTTGATTCAAGTGTACACAAGATAGAGTGAATACAGAGTAGCATATGTGGACAAGAAAAGCCCACAAGGGAATATCAACATAAAATTGCAATATAGGTATTAAAAGCAACGCTAAAAGGGGCAAAGCTAGCCCCACACAAACTCCATATATGACAGACTATACAAGGCCCCCCAAGATCAAGCAATCTTAGTAGTCGCCGACGACTGCTCAGGAATGTTGGTCTGTACACGGCCATCATCGGAGTTAGTCGACTCAAAGATGGCAGGAGCATCATCAGGCTCGTCAGGAATGAAGAGGTTAAGGAAGATGCCGAGAAGCGCACAGATAGCGAACCCGTTCTCCATGACCAGATCGACAGCATTGATCAGGCCTTCAAGGGCATGATTATCACCCTTGTAGGTGAAGAAGTAGCTGAACCATTCCGGCAGGAGTGTGACACCCATTCCAATGGAGAAGCTAGCCGTGAGGATGAACCGATTGCGACGGGTGGGATCGACGGACCCAATGATGCGCAGACCACTGACTGCCACCGAACTGAAGAGGAAAGCGGTCATACCACCGAGTACGGAGCTGGGGATTGCAACCAGCGCAGCTGCGAACTTGGAGAAAATGCCCATGATTATCAGGAAAAGGCAGCAGCAGTAGCCGGCGGTGCGGTTAGCGCATTTCGTCAACGCAATCACACCATTGTTCTGCGCGAAGACGGACATAGGGCTAATGGTCATCAAGCCGGCCAAGAGACAAGTGATGCCGTTACCCAAGACACCACCTTGGATTCGAGAATCGAAGGTATCACCCTCGACCTGGAGCCGGGAGACATCACACGTCGCCGTAATATCACCAATAGACTCCATCATGATAACGATGTATAGCGCTAGCAACGGCAGGATAAGCGGTGGGTACACCGATAGCGGGAAGGTGTGGACCCAAGCGAAAGAAGCCACCGGTGCAGCAGCGATACCGGAAGAATCGAAGTAGTTGCACGCGGCAGCGACGATCGAACCAACCAACAGGCCAACAATGACGGAGCAACTCTTAAGAATGGGAGGACCCCACCGCTCGCAGACGATGATCGTCACGAAGACCAGGAATCCCAGCCCAATGAACTCAGGGCTTCCCCAGGGTAGAGGGTGCGGGGCGCTGGCGCTGGGGCACAGTGCGCGGGCGGAAGGGTCAACACCACAGGATGCGCCACCGGCCCAGTCCTGCATGGCGGACTTGATGAGGGAAGCACCGATCAGAAGAACAGTTGGGCCGGTGACGAGTGGGGGGAAGACGCGGGCGAGAATCTTGCTGCTCATGAAGGACATGCCGATTTCGAGGAGGGAGCAGAGACATGAGGTGCCAAGGAGTGCGCCGTAGCCTTTTGGGCAAGGGAGGTGTGTTCCATCTTCGAGGGAGGGACAGTAGCCCGACTTATACATTTGGGAGAAGGCGCCTTGAGCGACTGTAATTGTTGAGAAAGATGTACCTGTTTCAACCAATTAGCATCAGAAGCGGGGGTTCTGAAGAATGGAGGGGAAAGCTCTTACCAACAACTGATAGTAGTCCAGTTCCGATATAGTATTTTGTTCCCTTGATATGGAATCGGAACATTTGAACAGCACTCAGCAGGCCGGAGACGATCAATGAAGTCGAAACCAGGTACTGGTAGAGGTCGTCACCGAAGTTGGCACCGCCTGAGCCGCCGAGTAAAATGGGTGGTGAAATCACTGATGCTCTTAGATTCTGCTTGTATATTCTGTAGGTGTCTCTGGTACTCACCACCAGCCAGCATTGCAAGCGCATGCTGCAAGCCCAGAATCAATGCGAGAACGACAGGCACGCGATCATCCAGACCGAAGAACGGGGCGGATTTTCGAGCTCGCTTTGTGAAGGGTAGTCGTGGGATAAAGAGATATCCATAGTCATAGTCGCCTAGTAATCCCTCTCTGTTGATTGTGAGTCAAGGCCCCTCCACAACACATCATTTGGAGTCATACCGTGTGGTGAAAGTCTTAACGGCGTATCGGACTTTGTCGCTAATTGTGCGCTTGGGCGTATGATCGGGGCCGATCTGATCTGGACCGTCCATATTGAATGTCCAATATAATGAATATAGATATTGAACTATCACACAGGGACAGAGGTTTATATTTAAGAAGTTCAAAAAAAAAAAACAACAACACCCCGAACTTCGGTAACTCTTAAAGTTCAAGGCCAAATTCGGGGAGCTGACTAAAAATCGGAGTATCCACTCTCCAGGCAGAGTGGAAGTGATAACCTCCAGGGCTGTCAATTCTGTTATCGGACAAATAGCCAGGGAGAGCAAATGGGGGCAATTAGCAAGAGCATCGCATAACTTGTTGGCCGCTTGGCTGTATCGAGTTAGAGTCCCGCGTTATCTGGACCGGTTAGGGGTTCAGCCAATTATGGAGTACCGAGGATCTACTAGATAGTGGAGAAAGATAAGGAAGTTCTAACGGGGGGTGTTTTGTTTAGCCATTCCCGAGTTCCCCCATACTATGTGTTTCGACATTGTCAGAGCTGTGTATCCATATGGATAACGGAGCCAATGCAAGGTACCCCATTGGTGAGAAAGTATACCGGCAGTCTCCTATGTACGAAATACATGTATTCCGACAGCTCGGAGGCTTACTCTCCACAACTTGGAAACGATCGAACGTTCTCTGCTATCTTGGGGTTTATCTGAGATCTGACAGTCGGAGGGTGCCGTGAACAGTATGGGAGGTGGAAGACTCCGACCTCAGACCTCACGTCAGGTTCCCGGTGGTTCTTATCAGACTGCCATGAGATACTGTAAAGGACTTCGAGACTTTGTGGCGATCATCATATAGGATTAGATATTGTGATTGTCTGGATGGTTGACTTGTTCCCGTGGTCATACCTATATAGAGGTACGTACCTATGTAGGTACTAATGGTTGGGCGGGTATTAAAGTATACATACTTTGGAGGCTCTCGGAAATCCCGCGTTGTTCCAGAAAAGTATATCCCCACTGGCATTCGGACTTCATCATCCACTCTATATTTTCTTTAAACTCAACAGATGTCTATGATGTATCATCATCTCTTCCCCAACATATCTTTTCTCGTTTCTGTTTCTTGACTTGTGACTTCAATCTACATTCGCTGTTCATCGTGACATTCATTCTTTCGTCATTTTTTGGACACGCGTTGTTGAATCATGATCTGCTTGGTATCAAGAAGATGGTTGATGTGGCCAACACATGACCGTTTTCCCGCAGGAATGAAGAATTCGGTCATAATTCGATCAGATTCGCCCAGGTACGTCCACGGGTATCACACACATTCCATTATATGTGGTACATCGTACTACACACATGTGATGACTTCATTTGTATGAACGATGTCCGGTTCCCTTGGCCATTAATATTCGGGGAAGTGGGCCGAGGCTCGTTGGGGGGAAGGTGAGGTCAGAAATGTAACCTGCAAGGAACGGTGAGGTTGACCACTCTCCATGAGTGTTATTGCCTCCTTTTGAAACATGATTGGGCCAAATAGAGTAATCCCTAGAAATCCCGAGCTACAAGAACACCCTTGGTGGACTTAACCTCCACCCGTGGAACCCCGTGCAGCCCTAGATGGCTACAGGGTCTGCTGGGAAGGTGCTGACATAAACATATTTGCCATCGAGCGGTGATTGGTCTGATTGGTCTGATTGGTCTGGGATTGGTTTGATTGGTCAATTACTGCCTGAGGCACCAAAGCGTTGGGGCTGGCTGGACCCAACATTCGCCAGAAAGCGATGAGGCACGCCACTCCCGGGCAAAGGGCAGCGCAAAAGTCTCCCAGCACAAGCTTATAAGACAATTATTCTCTACTTTGGGTTCTTTTTCGCCTCGGGATCTTGTGACGCTCAATCTTAGCTTTCATTTGATTCGTCTTTTAGCCCTATTTTCCCCATATACGTTGGCGATCAGTGCCCCGGCTCCCCAACGTTGGTCCCAAGTGGACCCAAGTATAAAAATCCCTTTGATCCTCCTGGATTGAACTTCCAATCTTCTACACACCCATCATGTCATCCAAAGCGGATGCTTCACGCCCTCGGGCGGCTGACACCAAGAAGGTGCACATTGCCGATACTCAGATGACTCGCCAGAACTGGTACAAGCACGTCAACTGGCTGAACGTCGCTTTCATCATCGGCGTTCCCATCTCCGGCTGTATCCAGGCTTTCTGGGTGCCTCTGCAGCTGAAGACTGCTATCTGGGCAGTCATCTACTACTTCTTCACTGGACTGGGCATCACAGCTGGTAAGTAGTTCAGAATTGAACTGAACACCCAAGAACATGAATTGACTCCATTTTCAGGATACCATCGTCTCTGGGCTCACTGCTCCTATTCCGCCACTTTGCCTCTGCGTATCTGGCTCGCTCTGGTCGGCGGCGGTGCTGTCGAGGGCTCCATCCGCTGGTGGGCTCGTGACCACCGTGCTCACCACCGTTACACCGACACCGACAAGGACCCTTACTCCGTGCGTAAGGGTTTGCTGTACTCGCACCTGGGATGGATGGTCATGAAGCAGAACCCCAAGCGAATTGGTCGCACTGACATCACCGATCTGAACGAAGACCCCGTTGTTGTCTGGCAGCACCGCAACTACATCAAGGTCGTGCTCACCATGGGTCTCATCGTCCCCATGCTGGTCTCCGGTCTCGGCTGGGGTGACTGGTACGGCGGATTTGTGTACGCCGGTATTCTGCGTATCTTCTTCGTGCAACAGGCTACCTTCTGCGTCAACTCGCTGGCCCACTGGCTCGGCGACCAGCCCTTCGACGACCGCAACTCTCCCCGTGATCACATCATCACCGCTCTGGTCACCCTGGGCGAGGGCTACCACAACTTCCACCACGAGTTCCCCTCGGACTACCGCAACGCCATTGAGTGGCACCAGTACGACCCCACCAAGTGGACCATCTGGACCTGCAAGCAGCTCGGCCTGGCCTACGACTTGAAGCAGTTCCGCTCCAACGAGATCGAGAAGGGCCGCGTCCAGCAGCTGCAGAAGAAGATCGACCAGAAGCGCGCCAAGCTTG